TTGGAACATTTGACAACTGAGTTGTCATTTTACATTGGAACATTTGACAACTGAGTTGTCACTTTACATTGGAACATTTGACAAGTGAGTTGTTACTTTACATTGGAACATTTGACAACTGAGTTGTCATTTTACATTGGAACATTTGACAACTGAGTTGTCATTTTACATTGGAACATTTGACAATGAGTTGACACTTTGCATTGGAACATTTGACAACTGAGTTGTCATTTTACATTGGAACATTTGACAACTGAGTTGTCATTTTACATTGGAACATTTGACAACTGAGTTGTCACTTTACATTGGAACATTTGACAATGAGTTGACACTTTACATCGGAACTTTGAAACTATTTTATCAGGAAGAACTTATTTTTCTTGTTTTAAGTAATATGTTCATTTAAATGAATGATTTTTCTACATTTTATTACAAATATGCTTTATGATATATTATTTAATTATCGATTTTTTCACCAACATAATGTATGTCTCAGGGCCGACATGAAGCGACCATGCATCCTGTTCTTCGACGAGTTTGACAGCCTCGCGCCCAAGTAAGTCGCATATTGTAAGTACAAGGTGTTTGTACGTTACCACTTACATTTCTATTGATGTCTCAACCCTAGGTATTTGGTGATGATTTTAACTGCAGTACTTTTAATCTTTTTCTTCCTTAAGGAGTTTCTTTTAACGATAACTAAAATTAGTGTCTTGTATTAGAGAAGGGGAACATTTACGTATCAAAGTGCCATTTTTAAAGAAATGTTCAATACCCTGTTAGATGTGCTGTCGAATAATGACTGCGATTATTACATCAATTCCATCCATACTTCATACTTTTCTCGTAGTGTTTTTATGATCAGGGATATGCCCAAAATATGTCGTCGGTTTGTGACCCCTGTATCAGAGGATAAGTTAGGTTTGTCACAGACGCGGGCACGACTCTACTGGCGTGACAGACCGCGTGGTGAACCAGCTGCTGTCCCGCATGGACGGGGCGGAGGGCGGCGCGCGCGGGCCCGTGCTGGCCGCCACCTCGCGCCCCGACCTGGTGGACCCCGCGCTGCTGCGCCCCGGCCGTCTGCAGCGCCACGTCTACTGCGCACTGCCCACACAGGTACACTAGCCACCCCACTGTCCCCACGTGGGGACAGATGACAATAGAAAGTTGCATCCGTCCCACCTTTTAGTCCAACTATCACCAATGACGTGACATGGAACCGTTAAGAAATAAAATAAGTTCCAACCGTCACTCGTCGCAAAAGGTGGGACGGATGAAACTTTTTATTCTCTTCTGTCCACACGTGGGGACGCATTTTAGTGGACTTTTATAATTTGTAATTTACTTTTTTTATTTATTTTCATGTTTATTAACATGAACACGAACATGATAAACTAGGTTTCGCTTACGACTCATAAACATTTCCAAAATTAAATACACATCTCTATAACGACGTATATATTTGTACAGCAAGATCGTTACGAGATCCTGCTGACCCTGGCCAAGGACGTGGTGATATCGGAGGAGGTGGAGCTGTCGGCGCTGGCTGCGCGCACGGAGGACTTCTCTGCCGCGGACCTCAAGTCCTTGCTGATCACCGCGCAGCTCACCAGACTGGAGAAGAACCTCGTAAGTCATTTTATACTAATATTATGAGAAAAAAGAAATTTTTTTTGTATGTAATGAAATAACTTAATAGGTTACAGTTTTTTAGAATTCACAATTTTATGTGGATGGACCCGCGAGCAACAGCTAGTATTACATAACGCGACAACTGTACCCCCTTATAACTTGGGAGTAACCCCCTATAACGCGAATATTCCTAATATATTTTAAAAGAACCCTTATAACGCAACTTATGGCACTGGCATGTTGTAGAACACGTTATACGCGTAATTTCTACAACATGAATTCGTATAACGCGGAACCATCAACCGCGTTATAGAGGGGTTTACTGTAGATGAATTTTAGTATTTGTTGCTAATAGTAACAAATATAAAACTAAAGCTTAAAAACAATGACAATTAGTTAAGATTTGAGTTTTTACACTAGAGTGTTTTATGCATTTAAAAAAGGTTTGACGTAAAATCTTTAGCTCTATTGATTCCCATATTTTTTCTGTCTATTATCAATGAAAATGAGCGAGATAGCAATGTATAGGTAATATATCTATTTTAAATAGGTAAGTAAAGAAAGCAGCAGTATGGAGAGGGTGGAGGTGCTGCCGGAGGACGTGGAGTCAGCGCTGCAGGAGACCAAACCCTCGCTGTCTAAGGAACAGAGGCTCTTCTATGACACAATGTGAGTTTAATACATTAAAACTAGCTTTTGCCTGCGAATTAGTTCGCTAATTTAAATAAAAATATACTAGGAACCCTATGTGGTGTCTCAGATCCGTTTTGGAGATAATTACTACGGATCCATCCATTCATAGGTTTTTAGTACCAATTTCCTCTAAGCGGTTTGTTGAATGTTTTTGGAACAGTAGAAATAGGAGTAAGAAATTGGATTTTATTTACAATAGCCTAAAATGAGAGTTCTGGACATTAGCTGACGAAAAAGGCGAGATCTAGGGTCTAAAGGGAGGTATTGATGTATTTCTTAGTAATAAAAATATTATACTAAAGCAGATTTGGCTCTCAATTTTCTTTCTGCATGTCGATTACTGTAAAATATTGAATATTTAGTAATATTGTTTCTGTTGACAGTTACCGTAGGTTCCGCGGCGAGCCGCTGTCAGCTGAGCAGCGTCAAGTCTCACAACTTATGCAGAAACAACGAGTTACTTTAGCTTAGTATACAAATAAAACTTCAAGTTACTAAACCCTCTCTATAACGCGCTCGATGGTTACGCGTTATAGAGAATCCCCGTTTAAATCGTTTTTCAACTTCAGAGATAAATCGCGTTATAGGAGCGAAATCGCGTTATATAAGTTATATGGGGGCTAGTGTTAATGAAATTAAAATGTAAGAGAGCGCGTTATAGGGGGGTTACTGTATTTTATTACTAGCGATACCGTGCTTTATCCGAATTTGCTACAATATAAAAATTACTTGTATACAAGAGCTTGTATGAAGTGTTTTTTTAAATATATTCGGTACATGAATTAACTAACGCTTTTACTTATATTTCATAACTTTAAGCTATATTTTATGGTATATAAGGGTATAAGTTATGCTTGGCACAGCTTAATTGGCTACCAAAGACATTTTATTATTTTTTATTTAATTATATAGGCTTGATTTATTGGTATTGTACAATTTAAAAATATAGTTAGTTTAAGTATATTAATTATTAGCTTTTGTTAGTAATTTAATTAACAGTAGGTTTTTTAGGTGAATGTTTACGAAGTAATTTTGTTAAATTTTATTAAGGAACAAATATTTTAATATTTTTTGATATGTAATGAAGGAATAAATTTATTTTTAATTAAATGTACTTATAATATAATAATTTATATAGTTTATTTGTATATTTTGTTATTTTGTGGCGGATGTTTTAAATAAATAGTTTTTTTTTATATTAATCTTGTTTTATTCGATCATAAATTAAATGAGAACAACTCGTTTAATGTAACATAAGTATTTAATAATTAAAGTTATACATACTGAAAAACAAGTATAAAATGTTTTTCTCTGGACTAGCCATGGGCAAAACCCATGACATCAAACACGGAATTAAAAATAAAACTTGTAAATAACCTGTGTTTTTCCAGACTGTTCTAGATCTGTGATATATTTCATTAAGATCTGTAAAGACGTTTTAACTAGTAACATCCATCCATCCAAACTTTCGCATTCATATAAGTACTAGTTGTTCGCGACTTACTCGCGTAGAATTAAAAAATAAAATAAAAATGTAGCCTATGTTACTCAGTGATAATATAGCTTTTTATTGGTGCAAGAATTTTTAAAATCGGTCCAATAGTTTTTGAGTTATTTCAATACAAAAATACAAAACTTCCCTCTTTATAACATTTATATAGATAAGTATGAAATATCAGTAAATTATTTCTAAAGTATCATCAATTTAAGGAGGATATCGATATCGAAGATCCGATACAAAGTTTGTTGAATTAGTCGATATCTCGCATAATTACGACACCGCGTGGAGCGACTGATATAGTTAACCCATCAATATTACAAGCCTCATTAGTGTTCAGAGTTGTTAGCTATTTAAAATACATATACGCCTAAAACCAAGTGAATATTGTAAGTAAAATGTTAATCTCAATGAATACTTTAATATTCGTAAATTATAACCAGAAAACAATCTATACGTATTATGTTTTAAGCTTAGTTTACGTTCGGCCAGTATAGTTAGACAGCGCTGGCATAATGTAAATACCAACTAATACCGCTGAACCCATATAGTTATGCCAGGCCTGTGTTGTACTACTGTCCAACTGTACTGGTAAAATATAAACTAGGCATTATCCAAAAACTATTGAATTTTAAAATTCGTTCTGAAATTTTTATTAAATTGTTAATAACTCTAAGAAAACTATAGTTAACCATAAATTGGAGTAGATTATTATAAAAATTATGGTAAATATTTAAATAGATACAAAAACAAGCGTCTTAATGTTGGCACATTCCGTTGTATAATTAAAATAAGCATAATTTCGTTGAACGTAGCAGATAATCATGTTTTATTGAAAAACTTATGCGCGCCGCGGCTGAGATTAGTTCACAACTTGCACAATAATTTAGATTGAACGATGATTCCGAACGCGCCGACACCGCCATCTTATTTGCCGCGAAATTTTGCATTGCACAGATACTAAATTATTTTATACCTTTACTAGAAACGTCTTGTAAACGAATGAATTAAGCCAGCAGTGTTTCATATAAACAAACATGATGTTCAGTTGTTTTCTTGTGTTATTCTGTATATCAAAATAAATCAAGCTAGAGAAAGACACAAAAATATGCCGAATCTGAATGTGTTTTCGTTACTTATGTATTATTTAGCATAGCCACATCCAGTGTGATACTGTGTAGTTCAATGTAACCGCATCGTGTGAAGTTTGAGCACAGTTTAATGGTTTAAGTCGCGTTCGCAACAAGCTGTGTAATGAATTAATCGTGAACGCGGCCGCGGGAAGCGCACCTCATTATTAACCACTGATATGAGAGCAGTAAATCTGAAGTTAGACTTGAGAAGTTATTAATTATTTGAAAGAGTTATTGATCTTAATATATGAGCACTGATAGAGGTTTTATTCCACACCAGTTTTCGCCCGCGGTTTTCGTCGGCATGGAATGAAATAAAACAAAAGTGACTAGCCTATGTGTTCTTTCAGACAATCCTCTACATCTATACCAAATTTTATCAAAATCCGTTCGGCCGTTTAGACTACAAACTCAAACAAACATCTATCTATCCATCCATCTAAACTTTCGCATTTATAACGTTAGTATGATTTTTATGTTTGTATTATTTTATTGTATAATTATGTCATTATTGTGAAGATAAATTGCTGGTCAAAGAATTTATAACGTAAGTTAATAGAAGCAAAGGAAATATCGTTCACCGTCTATCAAAAATATAAAAGCTTGAAGGTGAAAATTAGGACCCTTCTGTCTGCGCGAAGAAAGCGGTTTTTATTCCGCTTAAAGTAATTATTGTATTTTTCTGAAAGAGTTTGTTAGCGGACCATTCAGCTGGGGCGCGGACGCTTTTCTGTGCCCAGGGACGGACTCTAGCAATCTTTTTAAAAATTCTATTAAACAATATAATTGAAAAATAGACGTGAAAGGAAAGAGCACGACAATATTTTCATTTGTAGAAACATTATATTATAGTTATAATTTGATTATTCATCAATTAACTAATTAATAAGATGAGTAACGAATGATAACTAAGGTTACCAGATTACCCCGACGGAGACTTATTAAAAACCACTGTAATAATATGCACAAAATTCGCATTAAAATATGCCTAGCTCGTACTCATTCCTTTATGACATTGCTATTTACAAATAAAACAGCTTTAAAGGTAAAAAAATATTTTAGAACATGTTGCTGTACTAAATCAAACATATATTTTCAATGAAACCAAGTCCAACTCTGGGCGTGGACCGGAGTTTTCTTGTTTTCCTTGAGTTTTCTCAGCTTTTCTTCGCGTTTTCTTTCGTTTGGTGCCGTAATTAGCTCATTCAACACCCCGAACCCTCCCGCATTTTGCTTTCAACCTAAATTATCTTATTTATTGTAAACACGTTTTATTATATTCATTTTGACTCTTCTTTCAGTTCAACGTTTCAAAAAAAATATGTTTTATTCCTATACATAATTCACAAGCATTTACGATTCTAACCTATAAGAGTAATCGTTTCGCTTGACTTTTCAAGTTAACAAAAACAAAAGTTATTAAAATTAAAGAAAAGAAAATAAGAAAATTGTCAAACAAAACACGTAGCCCGCTATCTCTTGAGCCGCCCAGACGTGGCCGTAAAAGAAAAAGGGGCAAAGTCTCGGAAGTGTCGCTGATAAGCCGACGTAATGGCGGCCACGATACCGCTCCCGCCTTTTTCTCCCGCCAACAGCGCATTGTGCCACAGAATGGCAACACAAAGACACACCACAATGCGATCTGCTTTCTCACTAAAGCGATGTAATTTTTTTGTAGACTACAAAGGTTGAGGAGATAGATTTCTTAAAGCTATACTAACATCGGGCAAAAAAAGGCATAATTATCTAAATGCTTTTTTTAATTAAACATAGTAAATTTTAACTGTAAAAACATGAATGAATTCCGAATAAAGACGCTATGTTACTAGCTCTAGTATTTCTGTTATTAATTACATCAAAAATTATATCTATAATATTTAAAGCTATATTTTTGTATCGATTTATTTTTAACCTCTGGATCTCGCTTTAATATATTAAAGTGCTTAAATAAAACAATTTATTAATAAGCGAGTGTTGTTGAAATATTAATAACCTCAGCATACACAGCCGAGTGCGCTCGATTTGATCTTTTAATAAGATGTTAATTGACACGTATTAGAATTTTGAAGTAAATTACAAAGGAGGGCGACCTCCACGCGCCCCCCACATTAGCGGCCGGGTGGGGCGCGCGACAAATTTTTGTTTTTCTCTCGCGCTTGAGACAGCAAGTCAGGTATTCCACGTGCTAGAACGAGACAAAGAGAAGTCCACACATTGCTTTTGTTAAAGAGTAAAAATAATAGAGAGAACGGTCGTTTATCTCTTTTTATGGCGCGGCGGTATCTTCGCGCCGTCGTTCGCTATTATGGAAGACAATTTTGGCGCGAAAGAAAACTGCTTATTACCTCTTATTCTTGAAAGTGCGCGCCCCACTCCTCACTTTATAACGACTTTGTGAGCGAAAGCGCTCCTTTATACTGAAATGATTTTTATTTCCATCGTTTTAACTGAATAATGTATACTCCCAAAATTATTATATTTTCTTTTAGATGTCATGTGTTCATATTTCACATGTTTATGTACATTTGATAACATAAAAAGTAAAATCATTGTTAAGTCTGTATTCTCTCTAAGCGCACAAAATATTATTGTATAGAAAATGTAATAAAAAATCGCCTACGAACTAGTTATAAATTTTTTTCAACTATCAAGAAGTGTAAGTCGCTGCACTTTAGATAAGGCGTGTATTGTGCCTCTTTTCTTCGCAGCTTTTCTATCAGAGAATTAGATCGTCGCCAGCAAATGGATTAAGAAGTTAAGTATTTATTTATCGTTCGTTTAATCTGAGATCGTCGCGGTTAGACAAACAGACAGAAGGAAAATTATACGCTTTGTTAGGGTGTAAAGGTGTCGACACATTAGAGTGTTTTTTTTTTACTAATTCAAATATAAACAATTAGTAAGTACAAATTCTTAGAATTTCATCTTCAAACAGTGGAATCTGACGCTATCCTGCCTGTACGCAAAGAATACTGCTCACTTATTTTTTTAATTGTATGCTGTTCTCTAAAATGGCAGGAAAGGAGGAAAAATTACAGCAAGATCAAGATCAAGACACATTGAATACGTAGGAAAGAAAACTTGCGTGGATCTACAGAGCATAGATGTTATAACAATATTAAGGAACTGTCCCACCAAATTGTAAATTGTCTGATAACAATCCAACGTATAAAATATTTGATGGAAATTTCGGATTTTGTAACCTTATCTGATAGTGACGTCATTGTTAAGCTATCTGAACCTCTATCAGCCAGTGTGACAGGCCCTAATTCTACAAATATAATACAAAGTCTATCGCTGGCTGGTTTCCAAGTAAAAATCTGTTCGAAGTGAAACGACAGTACAAAGTATCTCAGATATCGGTCTTAATTTTGTTTCATCTCACGGCTTGTTGACACTGCCGAGTACCATTAGTAATAAGATGTTTGCTGACAATTTGCTCGATAATCAA